TCTGAGTTTAAAGTCAGAATTCTAAGAAAAAAAGTCAGAATTCTGAGATTAAAGTCGGAATTCTGAGAAAAAAGTCAGAATTCTGACTTTTTTCCAATACTAAAATGAAAAAAAAAATTAAAGTCGGTAAACTTTTTTTTTCCCACTGGCCCTAATCCTCTTCCGTACTAATATATGAAACAAGAGAAATCTAAATTTTTCGACCACACTTTCAAATTGCTATGCTGGGGCAGAAAATCCCTCTTGAGGGCCAGATTCGGCCCCTGAGCCTCGACTTTAACACACATGGTGCATCAGTGCGTGTGCCAGCCATGCTGCTCACTTTGTATCCTAAGAAAGACTATTGGTAGGATTCTATGTGGAGAATCTAAATATAATAATCTGGTTATACAGATATTAAAGTGTTAAAGTAAACAGGAAATTCTTTACAATTCTTTTTAAAATAATAAAATTTTGAGATAATTGGGATTAGCAGAGATTAGGGAGTAAAATCTCATAACTCAGTGATATTCTGCACTTATTTGAAAAAGTGAAGCTTAATTATTTTTTTATGCAGCCAATAATGGTCCAGCTTTCTTATCTGTTTTCTTATCATGTGGGTTTTCAGACGCCTTCTCCCTGGATCCAATCACCGGATTGGTGCGTTCCCGCCGCCTGCTTCAATCTTCAGAACGTTTCAACTTTACCGTTGTAGCTACAGACCAGGGACGCCCCCCTTTATGGGGCACCGCAGACCTGATCATCACTGTCATAGACGTCAACGACAACAGACCAGTGTTTCGCAGACCAGCTAATGGAACCATCATTCATATCTCTGAGGTATCTGCACCAGTCTGGGTGTAATGGCTGCCCTCCTCTTGCAATTATTTGTTTTCTTCATTCAGCTTTTCTTTTGAGTTGAGTGAAAAATGAACTCCTGATCTACATGTGCAATGATGTGCACATGTGGATTATTTTTATCTTCTTCCTGGGTATAATCATTTCTGTGAAGCAGCTCACCCATGCATGCAGTGGGTGAACATGTGGCTAATCTATATTTATCACAATCAAACCTCATTTGACCTGAATGTGTGTTTTTATGCAGAACAGACATCATTTAACACTGAGCTGCTCCATAAAAAAATATATAATTGTAAACCTCACTCTTCATCCATAGTTAGATTTATTTTTATACTCAAATGGATCTGAATACATCAAGATTCATTAACTCTGAGTTTAGCTGCCATAAACAGCTTGTTCTGATATTTTGTTCCAACAGGATTTTCTGCACATCCAACATTAAACTGGGAAAATAATTTAACATACACCTTTTTGACTTCTAACCTTGTGATTGAGACCTACAGAGAGATTTATTTAGCCTCAGGCTATTTTTTTATCTGACAGTTTTTAGGCAGAAGTTTTTTATGCTAGGCTAATATTAGCATCTTATTCTGTTTTTCAATAAAATTCAATTCCGTTTATTATATATATATTATAGATTTATTCAAA